TGCCTTTTCAATTTTTGTGCACGAATATGTAATTTCTTTTTCTTTTCTTAGTTCAGTGCTTTGAATAAGAATCGCAAGAAAAAGGATAAAAAAATAATTTTATTCTCATTTTGCATAGGGCTAGGGGGCAAGAATCTAAATTATTGAGACAATTGTTTCAAAAGCAACTTTAAACGAAATGGTCCTTATTCATTCAATTCTACGCCCTTGTTTGATTCCGTTATTTCTAAAATTAGTGCTTTGAATAAGAATCACAAGAAAAAGGATAAAAAATAATTTTATTCTCATTTTGCATAGGGCTAGGGGGCAAGAATCTAAATTATTGAGACAATTGTTTCAAAAGCAACTTTAAACGAAATGGTCCTTATTCATTTAATTATATGCCCTCGTTTGATCTCATTATTTCTAAAATACATTTTCTCTACCTTTCTGTTAATCACCAAGTTTTCAATAAAATAATATTACAAATAAATCTATTTTTTTAATTTTTTAAATACACATTTTTCATCAATCTATTATTTAAAAACATATTCTTAACCCCAAAATGGGGTTCAAATATAATTAGTTCATTTTAATTTTATAACTAGATAAACGTTTCGTATTTTTTTCTTAGAAAACAGTATGACGCAACAATTAATTATTAAATTTTTTATCATAAGATAAGATGATCCATTGATGTGGTAGAACAAAATATCACATATCTCAAGAGGCTAATAAGATCATCGCTAACTAGAGGTCTGAAAAAGCTTCAACTCGACTCAATATCAGAAGTCGAACCCTATGATTGCTAGTCTTAATAACTAAAATGATACTACAATATTGATTTTTTATTTTTTTTTATTTTTAATCCAATTCATGATTTTTACATTTATAAATTTTTTTAAATGCAAGTAAAATTATTGGTTTGGACAATTCTCGTACTTTTTCGAATTCTCATGAATCTCTAACACGTTAAATAAACGATAGCACGCTGAAATTGGGAGTTTATCATTATTAACAAAGTACTTCACCATAGTCGTATCTTAGAAGCTGCCAAGTGATAATACCTTGCTTTTACAAATTCTATGTTTACATAAATGATTTTACGTGCTTAAATTGAACTCCTTCAACAATTTGCCAAGAACCATTCCTTATAGAACAAGTTGTTACTAAATATAAAAATATAAAGATTAGGAATTTAAATACTCCCATCGTCCCATTCATATAGGTTTGGTTTCCTTAGTCTCGTTTCTTAATTTAGAATAGTTTATTTTGTTCATTTACTAATATACCATTGTTTAATTTGCCTAGTTACAATCAATTTTTCCCATTTAATTTGCCTACTTTTGAAATCATCCAAATACATGCACATTTCACAATAATTTGCCTACTTGAAATCAATTTTCAAGTTCTTTTCTAATTTTAACAATAATTTGCTACTAGATGTTGAAAATTAAATAGGGATAAATTAGGAAATTTCTTGACAAAAATTACTTTTCCAATAACATTAAATAAGATTCCTCAATCTGTATGAAAAACAAAACAAGTCTATATAATTGGGAGGGAAGGAGTATCAAGAACTAAGCGGGTGTTTGGCCTCCATTCTTAGCTAATTTTAATGGATGAAATAGTGTTTTTATGAAAAATGTGTGGTTGAAAAAGAATGAAAAGTTTTTTATTTGTGTGTAATATTATTTTATGGAAGATTGTGTGGTTAAAAATAAAAGAGAGAAAAAAAAATGAGAATAAGAATGAGATAAGAATGGGGGCCAAACATGGGTATACATATTAAAAAAAGATCTACTCATTACAACATTTACGAGTTGAAATATTTTGTTGAATTTTGTTATTTGTACATCGGCATTGACACACTCCTCACATGAGAGAGGGACCCACGTCTAATATAAAAAGGCGTAGACCTCCCTTTTACGAGAGACGTGTCAACGTCGATGAACGTGTAGCAAATCTCTACCTTGTTGTAGTTTTCATGGAGACGTGAGTTCTGATTAAGATGTCAAAATGGAAAGATCAACTTATTCTGTCATGAGGTTCAAATTGCCTCATCATAAGTCTAGACAGTGCCAAGACTGATCGACGGTCCGATCTCAACTTCTTTTGGGCGTTAGAATTAGACTCTTGAGCTGTGAGCACAATGTCAAGTCTTGACAATATTTCCTCACACGTGAAAAGAATTTCAATGAAGATCTGTCTTAGTTGTGTAACTTCTGCACATGTGTTGTGTAGTTAGCATTTGTTGACTAATCAATTCGTTAAGTCCAAAATCTGGCAATTCTGTGTTCACACTACTGATTTGCATTTTTATAATATATTGATATTTGACCGTCCATAAAATGAAACTAACAAAATAAAGACGTTACGACTATGGTGCAATTATTTTAAAATAAATAAATAAATAAATAAAATATAAGATATATTAATGATCAATGACTTAGTAAAAATGATTTAATCACAATAAAATATATTTAACAAAACTTAAATATTCTAATATTGAAATGATAGTGATTTCTTCATTAACTGAACTATTAGCTTCCATTTGTTTGCACGTGAATCGTCTTGGCATAAAAGTCCATATTGTGGACCCATCTCATTGATTGAAATAAATTAACATTATGTTTGTAAAACAAACAAACAAAATAATAACAATAATAAAATCTAACTTTTCACTTTGTATAATTTGATCTTATTTAATACTATAAATCAATCTACTAGCAAATATGTTTCATACGTAACATTAAAAAATATATTTAAAAAATCATTAATCTATATGAATTGCAAATTTTTTTGGGTCTTGCTGCACTAACATAGGGGATGATTTTGCACAAATGGGAGGTCGGTATTTTTTCATTCACGCGGGACCCAAGCGCAAAATGTGAGGATCGATCACCCTCTTTGTCATGCAATTCGGTTAATTCAATTTTATCCAAATTTTTTACATCTATCCTATTATGTCCTATATGGATATTAAAAATTTAGATTCATTATATGGATAAAGGTCGCTAGATTGATCTAGGGCTGTGCGACTTGGCCACCGCGCTAGTCCTCACATGCGAGCTAGTCCACTTCATCGAAGTGAGGTTCAGCTTATTTTTATTTTTAATTTGAACTGAAAACCGTACTTTCATGCCACAAATATAATGAAGACGTAAAGAAATTATATTTCGTCACTAGAATCCTGAAATGAAAAGAAAATGCTAAATGTAAAAATTACATTTTGTCAAAAGCATTATAATATTAATTACTTACCAATTTATTCTTAAAAATGTAGACAAGCGTGTGAACAACCATCGTATCAATTTAACGGCCACATTTTTTGTCATCTAACATGGTTTGAATTAGAGAAATCATATGCAATGTACAAAATATCTGCTGAAAGAGATAGATATTAAAAATTTAGAAGATAAATATTTAATAAAATTTTATATTCATTAAATGGATAATTGATAAAGGGGGGCTAGATTGATCTAGGGCTGTGTGACTTGGCCATCGCACAAGTTCTCAAATGCAAGCTAGTTCACTTCATCGAAGTGTGGTTGAACTCATTTTTATTTTTAATTTGAACTGAAAACCGTACTTTCATGCCACAAATATAATGAAGACGTAAAGAAATTATATTTTTGTCACTAGAATCCTATAATGGAAAGAAAATGTTAGATGTAAAATTAAATTTCGTCAAAAGCGTTATAAAGTTGTAAAACATTCACCTCCTTCATCTGGACTTGTGAGTAGTTCCAATACACAGGGAGAGTTAAAATTATATGAATCAATATTATGAGTTCAACTTTTTAAAATAAATAAATGAAAAAAGATCTATATGATAACAATTAAAGAAACAAAATATACTTACAATTCTATCTTAGTAATCTGCAATAGCACATTTAAAAAGATCTCACTCAATATACCAAATTTATCTTCTTGAAGCAATCGATGCATCATATGCTTCTAATCGGATTGTAATATTATTCAAGTCATGTTATACATCTCGATCTAGCTTATGATTTTCTATGATAGAATTTATGTATGTAAATATTGATAAATTTGTGAACACGTCTCAAGCTATACTGACAATACTAAATATAGATATCTTTTTGCATTCCACCAATGAAGTATATTGCAGAAGTCATTTTTGCTAATGTTTAAAAATTAGAAAATTAAATCTATGTAGTTTGAAAGATATGATGTTGTTTGGTGGAGATTAAATGATATTTTTAGTAGGTTTTGATATAAATTGATGAATTATGTGGTTGAAAAGTAGTGAAATCCGTTAAATATGAGGTTAATTTTAATTGCTGACTTTTTTTTTAAAATTAAAATTTATATCACAATCAAATAAGGGCATAGTACAAATTAAAAAATTCTATAATTCCTTCTCATTACGAGGATATAGATTTTACAAAGATAATATTATATGAGGAAATTACACGCATCCAGGTTTTTTAAATGCACAATTCAAAAATCTGCTATCATGTTTATTTGTGCAAATGTCAGGTTTCCACCTCCAATTAAAACCCTATCCCATTCACCCAATTAAAACCTAAATTATTTTCTCTCTCATCTTCTCCTTTCCTTCCCGTCTTCTTTCTTTATATCCTCTCCCCACACATCGTCATCGTTGTCAAGCACCGTCGCCAGAGCACCGCCCCAGAGTCAACTCTATGCTGCTCCAAATCCATTTTCGTCTCTACCTCATATCCTCTCTTGGTACTTCATCCACCTTTTTTTCTTCTTCAAATGGAGCTTCGCCTAGAGATCTAACCGACCAGCCGGTCCGATGTGCGCTGCTCTCAGTTCAGCCGCACACGACCCTGCAGAGGCCGCTCACGGCTCCTCACCACTAGTGGCGCTTTAAGATCGGCATCGATCGACGCTACTGCAGCCAGTGGTGATTGCCTCTACTCCAACAGTACTTCTCCCATGCCTCCACTTCCAAAGATGCCTGAACTTCGACGCTGTGCGGTGGCATCTACTCCTTAGACATCTGATTCCGGTAATCCAAAAGGACTATGATTTTTGTTGGTGTCGATGGTGGTGGTTTTGTAGTTGAAAATCTTGGTTTGTTGGTGGTTGAAAATGGTGGTGATTGCGGTTGTTTTGTTAATGGCGTTGGCGGCGCTGATGGCAGTAGCGGTGCTTGTGTTGGCAGTGGTGATTTGGATGGTGGTGTTGAGGTTGGGAGGAAATTGAGCGGTGCTTGTGTTGGCAGTGGTGATTTGGATGGTGGTGTTGAGGTTGGGAGGAAATTGTATTGTTGGGTGTGTTCGGTGGTTGTGTCTGGCTGTGATTGTGTCCTGGTCGTTGTGATGGTTTCTGGCCGTGGTCATGTTGGCGATGGAGACGGAGGTTATGTTGTTGTGTTTGGTGGTGGCAGTCATGGTGGATTCTAGCTACGGTGGAGGTGGTGTAGAACACAGTGATAGTTTTTGTTGGTAGTTTGGTTGTCGTCGGCGTTTGTTGGTGATTGTGGTTGTGTTGTTGTTGATGATGTTGGTGGCGGTGGCGGTGGCGGTGGCGGTGGGGGGTGGGTATCTGTGACCAATTATATTTGGTGTCTATGACCAATTATTTGGTCCTCTGTGAATGAGTGTTAATTTGTGACTTTGAAATTCATCATTTTGTGACTAAAAAAGTAATCTGTGACCATCAAATTTGAAAATACGTGACCTGCGATCTATAATTTTTTGGATGTGTGACCAATGACATAAAATGTGGCCCGTAATTTTTTGATCTGTGACCTTAAAATAATTTGTGACCTCAAAAAAATCTGTGGCCAATTAATTTGATCATATGTGACCGACGAATAAATCTATGACCTATAATTGTATATATGTGACCATTAATTGTGTAACCGTGACTTTATTATCATTATTTAATAAATATTTTCAATTAATTAGTTAAAATCTAAATTTTGCATTAATCAAACTTGTAACTTGAATTTTGAATTATGTATACTTAAAACCTGGTTTATGTACTCTTCCCAATTTGTTACCTTCATAATCACCGGATCTTTCATGTTAGATCAACAATAAATATCAAGATCTATAGTGGAATCGCACCTGAATCAAACATGATTATTGCAATAATCGAATCATGTGGCTAGTCTTCCAAATCAACATGTAGTCTCATTTTCTTTCTGTGATGGGATGCAAAAGAGAACTAACAAAATAAAATCTCCCGTTGTGTGATTCAGGGACCACAACCGTATTTATATATTGATGCCATTTTGGCCTAATTCAGCCTATAATGGAATTAGGAACTTGGGTCCGGTTTTTACACATATAGAACCCACACTTTGATTGGATGCATTAAAGCCCAAAATCGAAGTCTTATTATGTAATACTCCGAATTTTGTGCAATTAGAAGAGTGGTAGTTGAAAAATTATGCTACTAAAAAGTTGAGAGCGACATATTAAAAATAGGATTTTGCTAAATGTACATTAGCATGCACATTCGGGTGTCCATAATGAACACTCGGCATCTCGTTATTGGTCGAGGCGCCTGTAAGCCCCGACGCGGCAGACGCCTCGGCATTGTGTCCATTATAGACACCCCAATGTACACGTTAATGTATATCTAGCACGGTCCAAAAAATATTGTAAAGAATGATGAAAGTAAAATGTGCTGAAATTTCTTTACCTACGCATCCTTATTTATAGACCCAAAATTGAACCCAAAAAGGTGCTATAAAAAAAAAAAATGAATTCAAATTTCAGATTTGATTGTGCATCCTACACGACAAGCGTGCCATCAATTCAGTCTGCAAGGCTACTACAAAAAGGTTGAACTCCAATTTTAAGGGCCCCCATCGCCCTGTCCCTAAAACTTTGTAAGGGAAGTAAATCGTTAGATATACCCCACCAGGTCAAGGAACAAGAGCTACCTGTACACTACGTTTACAAGGAGTCCAATTTCATGTATCATGAATCAAACCTCCACACTGCGGCTGCCAGTAAAGCGTGAGATAACCTCACTCCTATCCTTTGCACAACTTGACTATGCCTCGAGGGGCCAGTCTGCAAGGCTACTAACTTGCACACGAGCTAGCTTGCTTGACTTGCTGTGAGACAAGTCGAGTTGAAGAACTTATGAAGACTCGTCTGTCTTAACACCCTTAAATCGATAATGAACTTAACTATCAGAAAAAGACACACGAGTCCACGTAAATGAGCTATAGGCTTATATCGAATTTTACTGGCCAAAATTTGGAGATCATGCCTAATATTTGGTCAAGTAAATCAGCGCATCTATATCCCTAACACCCTAAAAATACTACCAAAATTTAGGATGTATAGAGAGTAGCCTAATTTTTTTTTTCTTTTTTGTTAATAATTAAATAAATCACGATAAAAGCATTTCAACAACTCCAAGAGAAATACTTATTTTACGTTTGACCAATTTCCACCAATGGAGATATTGTGCACACATCATTAGTCCCAAGAATATTGAATTTGTCTGAAATTTTAAATATTAATCTTAGTCAGCTCAAATTAATTTTCTTTCTCATTGCAAATTTTTTTACAATTTTTATCTTGGATCATTCCTTGTGTCCGCGAACCTGTGATGTGTGGTCGAAAGGGAATTCTGTATTTTTCAAGAATATGATTTATTTGCCTACATATGCTCTTTAATATTTGACAATTAAATCATAATTTTAATTTTCGATAATATTTTAATTTCTATCATGTAAACTATTGTCATCTTTCCAACTTTCGCTGTTAAACACATCACTACTATTGTAGAGGAATGGTGGGTGAGGGTCAAGAGTAGGGTTGGGCAAATCTCTCGAACCGAACCGATCGAACCGAACCGATCCCGACGGTTCTTGTCAAATTAAATACTTGAACGGGTATCTGAATTGAGAATCGACAAGTACGGTTCGATTCTCGGTTCTAGACCAAAAATCGAAGAATCGAATAAGAACCGAATCTTTTTAATTTTTTTTATATTTAGTAAATCAAATTATTTTAATTTTAATTTTTTCTAAACAAATTAACAAATTAACGATTTCTAAATTCAAATTTTTGGCCCAATAATTTGTTTCATTTCTAAATTTTAATTTTTGGCCCAATTACCCATTTTATTGTTTCATTTCTTAGCTAAACAAGATCAAATCTACTAAATAACCCTAAACACCTACACTAAAGTGCATAACGTTGTCTCGACTCTCGCACTCACTCTCGCAGCTTTGCTAATATTCCAAAATCTATACAATCGTCGGTCGACACTATGACCTCCAAACGAAACTGTGACCTCCGTCGACCTAAACTTTAATCGTAACGATCATTTAAACAAGTTAGTTTATTAGTTTCTGACATTCAAAAACCATTGAATGTATCAATAGTTGTATTTATATAATGTTGTTATAACTGTTAAAAAATTTAATTATAGTACAGAACCGAACGGAACGGAACCGAACCGAACTGAATCAAACCCGAACGGTTCCATAATTATATTTGGATCCGACGGTTCTATTTATTAAATACTCGAAAAGTTTGGTTCGGTTCGATTCTCTTTAGAATCGAACCGAAACGACCCGCGCCCACCCCTAGTCAAGAGATATATTATGTAAACTATTGTCATCTTTCCAACTTTCGCTGTTAAACACATCACTACTATTGTAGAGGAATGGCGGGTGATGGTCAAGAGAGATAACAATGACAGGATTGTGGGTCTAGAGGTTAAATGGTAGAGATAACGCAGTTGAAAAGGCAATTGCAACATAATATCGAAGGGGACGGTGGGATATGGGCAAAATTGATGTCTTTTTAGTAAGATAAAGATATTTGGAAAATTTGACTTGAAAACATACAGAAAAAGTTGGGGTTTCTTTTTCGACGCACTAAAATTTGAAACAAAAAATATTTAATGCACTTTTGAATTAAATTGATTTTGCCCTTTATGTTTTCCGAACGCAAAAATAACTTTTCCACTTCAAATTTGACAAGTCATTGATAGATTTGCTCGTTACAATCAAATTTATAGCTTTGGCACCAAAAGGTTTACATAATTACGTGACCAACACTATTTAATCGATCGAGTTAATTAAATTTATTCTTTTTTTTTTCCTTGTCCTTCTTCTTTGTTCTTGTATACTCGCATAGGCTTATATCTCAAACTTTAAATATCGTTCCATTGCATTCACTCTCATTCAAAATCGACTTAAATATCACATTATGTAAGAAAAGTTGGAAATAATTTCTACCTTTCAATTAGAAGCACAATATTGGATATTGAAAGTTAAAGACAAATTACAATTTGTTACTGTTCACTGTTCAAATATGTACGGTATACATTAGTCATCTAGAGTTGGAGCCTTGCTTTGTCTAATAAATAGTTATTCAAAATGGTAATTATCTTTAATTTTAGCTCTATCTATTTAGTAGTTATTTTGTACAATACTGTTTACAAATAATAGTACACGTAAATAGAAAAATTTCCTTATTTTTTAACCTTAAATTCTCCAAAAAAATAATTATTCCAAAACTCATCTTTCGCCAAATTCTTATTGAAATTCGTATTGAATTTTGCTGACCTATTTTGTTCTCTCCTAACAAAATCTTGACACCTCAAAATTGAAATAAGTTATTATAATTTTATTGAAGAACAACTACATTAACATAAAAATGGAACAAAAAACATTTGTAGGAGTGTGCCCAACTAAGATTTTAATTAATTTAAAATTTTTTTCTTATAAATTTTAATGAATTCCGTGAATTTGAATAGACATTCACATAATTTATATGAATATCATTAAAATTGATGAATTTTCAAAAAAGTTTATTATGTTTATTTTAATATTGAAATTCATCCAAATTGTTTGAAATCCTTGTAAATTTATATATTATTGAGGATACATAAAATTTAAATGATTCATTAAATTCATTAAAAGTTTCAATTGAGAATACATATGTTTTAATAAATTTTATTAAAACATAAATATATGAGCTTATAAAGATTTTTAAAATCCATTAGAATCTGAATTGAGAAAACCCTCCTTCATCAAGTCGGGATGGGAGGGAGGTGGGGCGTGGGGGGTTGGGGTGACCTAAAGAAAAATAAATAGATACAAGAGTCTTCAAATTCTAGAACCATACCAAACATTTAAATCAAAGCAAAAAAAGAAAAGAAAGGAACATCTGACTTTTGATTTCATTCAAATTTAGCCAAGTCATAACATCTAAACTGGTCAACTTGGGCGGCTCCACCAACCCCACACCAGGATGTAGTTACAAAGTTGTCTCTCTCTTCCATCATAGAACAAAGCTATCAACAACAAAACATCAGTCCAGAAAGCTAAAATCACTTATGTTAATTAAAAAAATTACTTATAAGTTATAGCCCTTGTTTGAGCCCCTTTCTGGCTAAAAATATGTTTTTGATTAATGATTTTTTGGAGAATATATGGTTAAAAATTAAGAGAGTTTTCAATTTACGTGTAAAATTATTGTATAAAAAAATAAGTTTAGAAAAAAATGTGTTTATGAGAAAAAGGGAGCCCAAACATAGGCATAATTTTTCTCATTAACTATTCATAAATCAAGACTGCAAATATTTAAAT